GTCAGGAAGGGGACACAGAGGGGGCTCTGCCACAGCTCCGGTGCTGCCCACGCTGAGGTCTCCCCCACATACCTGGGGTCAGTCCTTCATGGAGTTTTTTCCCACAGGGAAGGGATGATTGGCACCCCTGCAATGGGCTTGCAATGGGATAATTAACCTAATTCTCAAAGCTCATTAAGGAGCTGCAGGTCGGGGAGGTGAGACACTTCACCCCTTGCCATGCCAAGAGCATCTCCACTGCCCCCAGGAGTGGCTGTTGCTGTGGGCACTCAGCTCCATCCCTGGAAGCAGCCTGGGATGAAGCTCTGGGGCAGCACAGGGTGATCCTGACCCCTACCACGACACAGCCACACAGAGGGGACAGCTTGCCATGAGATCCCTCCAACCCTGCTTACCCAGCTTTTCCCCCCACAGGGTGCAACCTTCAGAAGTCACAGCTCAGAAAACAGGATCTAAAGCTCAGCTGGGAAGGAGGAATGACATGAAAGTGCCCTGGATTGAGCTGGAATAAAACAGAGGGAAGGTGGTGGCAGTGAGGTCAGGCTCCCAGGGAGGAACAAAAGAGAGAACAATCACTTGTGCTGGGACCTCATTTTATTGCAAGGGAAATACAAAAGTTGGACAGCAGCATCCAAGGGACCACAGCACCCCCTGCTCCTGGGAAACAAGAGGACACTCTGTGCAGGTTTCCCAATGGAGTTTTCAGTTATCTCACATTCCAGATAGAATTCTTCAGCAGAAGGGTAAAACATCTCTTTCACAGTGCACCAGCAAAGAACAAGGGGCTGAGCAGAGTTGGGTTCCAGACCCTTCCCAATCTCTTCACTGCTGGGGTTTTCTTCCCTCAGGGATGTTGATTTATAACTGCACATGGAGATTCACCTGGATTTCTGGCAGGAAGGTACCCAGTGCTCCAAATGCTGGGCAAAGAGACAAAACAAGCCCTGAACACCAGGTCCAGGCACACACATGTGGTGCCAGGCTCCACCATGCCAAAGGCTCTGCAGAGCCAGCCCTGCTCCTCCAGCCTCACCTGTGCCAGGTGCTCTCTGTTACACCTGAGCTGCAGAACCTGCTGCTCTTCCCACTTTGGGGTTTTCTTTAGCTGCAACAGCTGCTGTGTTTGTATCTGTGACCCTGGTGCAAAAAGTGTGGACTTGGAAGTGATGCAATAAACGACTGGAATTCCTAAAACGTGGGTCCATGCTGGTTTGCATGACAGACAAACCAGTCAGGCATTACAGATGTTCCAGCTGCCAGCAAACCCCTAAAACGGACTCCCTGCACCCACCAGCTTCAAAAGGGCGGGGAGAAAAGTCAACATGAGACCATCAGGCGGGCTGGGGCGGCCTCGTCCTCCTGTGTGACCATGATTCAGCATTCAGAAGAGAATACAAACACGTGCTGACAATCCTTCACTGTGACCCCTTGTTTGCTACACGGCAGCAGATGCTCCTGAACCTCCACATACAAACACCTGAGAGCAAGGACATGAGACACGGCCCAAAAGAAGCAGGTGGCAGCTCTGGAAATGCAGTGCCAGAATCATGGGTGCAGCTGATTCTCCAGTGTCTGTCCCCAGGTCAGATGCCATAGAAGGTCTGAAGTAACCATAGTAACTCCATCATCCTCTATTTCTGGATTCAACAAACGTGCCAGGATACCCCCAGGAGTGGTTTCTCCACATGATCTGAGAGTTGAAGGGCTGTTAAAACACACCAAGTGCTCAACCCTTCACCTCCACCTTGAGCTTCAGGCGGACTTCACACAGGAAAGCGTTCATCAGGTCCTGGCTAGCCTCCTGAGCAATCCTGCTGATGACCCTTCCTCCTCTTCCAATCAACATCCTCTGTGTTAAAACCCAGAGAGAACATCATCAAACTCACCCTTACATGGCCCAGGAGAATGGTGCAGCCACAGAAGAAATGAGGGAAATTCCAGCATTAAATGGTGAGGCAACTTTGGGAAGGTGTAAGCTGCTACTGAATAGACAGTATTGGGTACATGGCTCTTCCCAAAAGAGAGGGAGAGGGAGCACAGCAAGAATGCAGGAGTTGGACTTGGGGAACCTCCCTTCATGCTGTCCAGCATCCCATCTTTCATCCTTCACTCACCTTATGAGACTCCCTTGGCACCAGGAGGCTCTGCACGATGAGGAGCTCCCCACATTCTCCTTCCTTCCATATGTCCGTCACCTGTGACAGCAAGCGAGCCCTCAGCAATCCTGGAAAATCCTCAGGAACCCCCAACACCACTCCCTGGGAGACACCAGCACACAAGGGTGGCCCCTTCACACACAGAAAGGGTCTTGGAGCACACCTGCAAGCACTGAGTCACCCCACAGATCCCAACAAGGGGATTCTCATCACACAGCCCGAAATTCCCAGCAAGACAGCTCAAGGCCAAGCCTGCCTGGGCACACTTCCCACCTGAGTCACTCCATAAGGCACTTCCAGTGGCAGGTACTCCAGGACCTTCTCCCTGATGATATTATCACAGATCTCCTGGGGTGACTGGTTGGTCAGGACATCGCTGTGGAATTCCCAAGGGCCTGGCTTGGCTTGCATCAGGAGGTACCTCTGTGGGCACAACACACCCCCACCAGCTGCCACGTGTCACCCACACAGTGCCAACACCCCTGGGCTCCTCCTGCAGAGAGGGCACTGCTGCAGGGCGGTGGTTTGGTGCTTTGGGCAGGGACAGGAGAAAGGGAAGCTCGGAAACCCCTCCCTAGGGCTGTGTGTAGCACAGAAAAGCCCACAGAAACCCTGGAGCTGAGAGACAGCAGTGGGTGGATTCCTTGCTGTTTGGAGAGCCCCAGGTAAGAGTTTTGCACAGAAAGCCCTGCAGATGCAGCAGGGACACATCCCAGGTTGACACGTGACACTTTCCCCGCTCCCAGGCCAGGAACAGAAGCTGAAGCTCTGTATGAAGAGCTGGGGTCCCACCCCAGGCTCCAGGTGTGACACAAGTTCAGACTGGAGTTACCTTGAGTGTATCCACCTCCTCCCCATGGAGAGCTGCCAGCATGAAGATCTCCTGGAAGTGTGGCCAGCCTTTCGTATCTTTTAGATCCTTGTGTCCATGGTGCTTTGGCTCTTGGGCTTCCTCTGTGCCAGCACCCCCAGCATCACTGCTCTTGTCCAAACCAGAACCTTCCTGGGCCTGATTCTTTTCCTGCCCAAAGGGAGACCCTGGGACCTTGCTTTCACGTGGAGAAGCCTGACTGACATGAAGGGGAGACTTTGCTGAAGAACTGGAATCCTGTTGAAGTGCAGATTTCACTTCCAGTTTCTTTCCATTTACAATTCCCTCTGTCAGGTCAGTTGCTATTTCCAGCAGAAGAAACTTCTTCTTTAGTATATCCACCTGAAGTCAGAGAGAGAAAGAGGTGTCAGGATTTATCCTAAATGAAGTGGGCAGCTGGATCTGAAGGAGCCAGAGGAAACCACCCAGGGAAGCAGCTGCTGCAGGACAGCAGAATTTTGTGACCAGAGGATTGAAACCCCAGACAGCAGCACAGCTTCAGGGGTGCTTGCAATGGGTACACACACACACCCCTCAATATTCTGGAGCAGAGCGGGAAAACTGTGTCCTTTAACACACCAGGAACACAAAAACCCATCACTGCTGGTGCCTTCCTGAAGAAGGCAGGAAGAAGGAGCAGGATTTACCTTGTTCAGGACCAGGACACTGGGGATGTGGGGGAACTGAGAGAGACACTTGAGCACCTCCTTGCTCAGAGAGTTCCGTGTCCAGTGATCCGACACATCCACCAGGACCAGGACTGCCAGGAAAGAGGGAGGGAAACAGGATTAATCCACATTTTCCACAATGTTCACTTGCAGCTTTAGAGTCTGTGGTCACTCCCCTCCTCAGGAGTGGCACAAAAAGAAGAATTTTATTGAAAACACTAAAAATGCACCTTACCTATGTCATCCTAATGACATCACACATGCTAAATCTCAACATCCAAGCCCAATTATTAACCCAAAGTGCCTCCCCTTGGCACCAGGCAGTTCTGATCCCCTCCTCAGCTCAATATTCCACATCTTTTCTCTACTTTTCCTTCCTTATTCACACTCCCTGGGCTGCCTGTGCTGCCAGCAAACACCCAGATACCACAGCTGGGAACTTGTGTGGCAGAAAAGGATTTGGTTTGATCCAAAAAAAGTAGTTGAAAACCCACCTAAGTCTGCGTGTTTCATGCTGTCCCATGGGTCTGTCAGCATGGTTTCATCTAAATTATGCCTGAAAGACACATATAAATGAGTAAAACAGACATGCTTCATTATAATTGTGTTCCTCCCTCTCAAACTAGAGGGAAACCTCATTCCAGCTGCCCCAAAGCTGCTTTAGGGGTTGTGACATCCCTTGTCATGTGCAGACTCACAGAACCACACACAAAAAGGCTCAAGGGACATCACAGGCTCTGTGTGCTACTGAAATTGCAACCAAAAAAAATTATTGGAAAACAAAGTAAGGCTAAAAATATGCATTCATCTTGCTCCTGTTTTACAGACCTTGCACAGAGAAAATCACATTCCTGTTTTATCAACTCTTGCTAGGCAGCACACACCCCCCTCCCCACCCCAGTTCTAGTACCTTTTGGCTTTTAAGGGATTTGTGAGGCCAGGTGTGTCCAGGATGATCTAGAAAAAGGAAAAACAAACATTTCACGTTGGCCAGCAGTGAGAGGTCAGGGGAAAGCCCTATCTTTGTGCAACGAGAGGTGATCCCACAGGATACAGACGAGCAAATGCTGCTCCAGGACTCACCAGCTGCGTGTCCTCATGCGTGATGACACCCCAGGCCTTGCAGCGGGTGGTGTGCACCTTCCTGGAGACTGGGAAAACCTGCAGGAAATTCATTCAGCACGTTACACAGCCGGGACGTGCCAAAAACCCAGGCAAACAGCCTGAGCCCCACCCCAGCTTCACCTTCCTGCCCAGGAGCTGGTTGGAGAGCGTGGATTTCCCGGCGTTGGGAGCGCCGATGATGGCGATCCTCAGCACCCTGGGCTGCTGGGGCTGCTCGGGCCGACTCTCCAGCAGCCGCTTCTGCTCCTCTGCCAGGGAAAGGAGGAGCTGGGACGCGGCCAAACCCTCCGCGGGTCGGGATCGCCCCGGGGCGGGGCGGCAGAGCGAGCACTCACCTTTGTCGGTGGCCACGGGCGGCGGGTGCTGGCCCGGAGCGGCGGGCGGGGCCTCGGCGGGGATGCCCAGGAGGGTGCCCAGCGCCGAGCTGCTCCCGCTGCAGCGGCGGGGAACGCTCGGGATCCCGCCCAGCGCCGAGGGAACGCTCGGGATCGTGCCCAGCGCCGCGATAATCCCGCCGCAGCGGCTCCCCGGGAGGCGGGCTGGAAGAAAACACCGAATTCACCAAGAACGAACCCAAAACACACCGAGCGCGCGCGCGCGTCCGGGCAGCGCTCAAGCCACCACAAAGCCTCTCGGCCGGCCCCGCCCGCCACCTCCCGCATCCAGAGGACGCCCGCGGCCCCAGCGCACCCGCTCGCAGCCGGAGCGGCCCCGCCGCGGCGGTTCCGGCGGCTCCGGCGGCGCGGAGCGCGGCGCGGGCGGCAGCCGCGGCCATGGGAGCCGCCATGCTGGCGCGCCGCGGGGCACGCCGGGAAGCGCGCGGCGCCCGCTGCCATTGGCCAACGGCGCGGGGCCAGAGCGCCGCTGCGCCGCGGGGGATTGTGGGATGGAAGCGGCCGAGGGCCCGGCGGAGCAGGGCGGGGACGCGCGAGCGCCCCCTGCCGGTGCCATCGGCGGGGTCCCAGTGTCACCAGTGTCCTCCCAGTGTCACCATGCTCCCGGTGTCACCAGTGTCCTCCCAGTGTCACCATGCTCCCGGTGTCACCAGTGCCACCAGTGTCCCTCCCCTGTCACCATTCTCCCGGTGTCACCAGTGTCACTAGTGCCCCCCCAGTGTCACCATGCTCCCGGTGTCACCAGTGCCACCACTGTCGTCCCAGTGTCACCATACTCTCGGTGTTGCCGGTGTCGCCAGTGTCCCCAGTGCCCCCCCAGTGTCATCATGCTCCTGGTGTCTCCAGTGTCACCAGTGTCCCTCCCCTGTCACTATGCTCCCGATGTCACCAGTGTCCCCAGTGCCTCTCCCCTGTCACCATGCTCCCAGTGTCACCAATGTCCCCAGTGTCACCAGTGTCACCACTGTCCTCCCAGTGTCACTACGCTCCCGGTGTCACCAGTGTCACTGGTGTCACCAGTGTCACCAATGTCCCCAGTGCCCCCCCAGTGTCACCATGCTCCCGGTGTCAGCAGTGTCCCCAGTGCCTCCAGTGTTCCCCGTCACACAGCCCAGCGCTCCCAGTCCCTTCTGCAGCACACGCACCCCAGTTTGTCCCAGCGCACCCCAGTTCTGCCAGGCCCGGAACCCCCAGGGCATCGATGTGGTGAGGAAGGAGAGCGGAGCCGTGGTTCTGTGCCTCTTTATTGTCCTGTGCCTGTCCCCAGGCTCCATCACCGTGTCCATCTCATTCCATCCCGTGCCATTCCCATCCCATCCCATCCCGTGCCACTCCCATCCCATGCCGTGCCATCCCGTGCCATTCCCATCCCATCCCGTGCCATGCCGTGCCATGCCGTGCCGTGCCGCGCTGCCGGCCGTCGGCAGAACCGTTACCATTACTAAACTCAGTAATGGTAACGGTTTCCCCGCCGGCCGCGGGTCCCGGCTGTGTCCGGATCCTCTCCCAGCCCGGGATGTCCCCGCCCGTGTCGCGTGTCGCTGCTGCCCGGTGCCCCGGGCCGTGTCCCGCTCGCTGCGGGCGGGAGGAGGTCGGTGCAGCCCGGGGAGTACATCATCTATACTGTAGTGTCTCATAGCCAACTTACAGTATACGATGATATCCTGCCCGGGACAGCGCGGAGAGGAGAGCAGAGCCTGCAGGGGACAGACAGCGTGCTCAGGGAGCCCAGCCCACTGCCACCCCGGTGTCACCGTGTCCCCCAGCCCGGTCCTGTCGCCTCCTGAGCCTCCTGGAGGCCTCCCTGCCCCAGCACCTCCCCACCTGCTCCTTATCCCTCCCAATTCCTCCACCCCAGAGCAGGAGAGAGGTTCTCAGTGCCTTCCCCACCCAGGTGTCGCCCCTAACCCCTCCTTGTCACCCCATTCCCACCGCCCTGGAGAGGAGCAGAAGTTCCCAATTGTCCCCCTACCCCATCTTTGCTCCCCATTCCTGCTGCCCCAGAGAGGGATCAAGGGCTCCCAGTTGCCTCCCTACCACAGCCTGCCCCTAACCCCTCCTTTTACTCCAGACCCCCCATCTCAGAGCAGGACAGGGGTTCCCAAAACCCCCCCTTTGTCTCCCCAGTCCCACCGTCCCCGAGCAGAACAGCAGCTCCCAGGTGGTGGCACCTACCTGTGGGGGTGGCACTGGGGCTTTGTGGGGTGCTGGATCTGCACCCGCCTTATAAAACCTGCTCTGCCTCATCTGCATATCTCACATCTGCACTGCACAGATGGATGGGGCCCTTAACCCCTTCATGCCCGGGGGGGGCACCGCCCCGAGCAGCTCCCCCCCCCAGCCTGGCATTGTCCATGGGGGGATGTGGGGTTTGAAAGGGTCACCCCCTGCATCTTCCACTTCAGGGTGGCCTCACAAATGCCCCATCCTCCTGTGGTGAGCAGGATTATCCCTTCCCATAGTTGTGGGGACCCTGAGCTGGGAGCTCCCCACTGCAAACTGGTTCCTGGACAGTTGTTGGACAGTGGTGTTGGACAGGGCAGGGGATGGGGCCCAGGAGGGACATCTGGGAGTGGGAATCACCCTACACAGGTCACCCTTCACAGGCACCCTCAGGTGAGGCACAGGGTACACCGGTGTGCAGGGAGCCTGTGTCCCCTGGGGTCGGTGACTTCTCTAGTGCTGTGCCCTTGGCCATATTTGCTCTTCCGGGGGACATGACCCCTAGCAGTGTGTCCCCAAAAAAAGGATTTGCCCTCCTGCCTTTAGGGACACTTGAAACATATTCCCCCACCCACGGGGATGTGACCCTTTGAGGGATTTATCCCCCAGTTAGGTGTCCCCAGAGGACACGCTCCCCTGGCCATCTGTGTCCCCTGGAGGGGTGTAACCCTTGGCTGTGTCCCCCCGAGGGCCACATGTGTGCCCCTCCTGACCCCATGTGTCCCCAGGAAGGCTGTGTCCCCTCATTGCACATGACCCTGGCCATACTTGTCCCCTGACCACGCGTGTCCCCAAACGGCTCCACCCCCTGACCACGAGTGTCACCTGCCTGTGCATGACCCTGGTCACTTGTGTCCCCCAGCCCTGTCTGTCCCCACAGGGCCACATCCTGCAGCCAGCGCTGTCCCATTGTGCCGGGTTGTTTGCTCCAGGACAGGATGGCATTCCTGGAAATCGGCTGGGGGGAGGTGATAATCCCCTGCAGGCCGTGTGTGCTCAGGGTCCCGATAAGCAGCAGCCTCTGGCTATCAGGGACCCTGCCCTGCCACACAAGGTGTCCCTGGAGCCACTGTCCCCTCTGGGTGACAGGAGCAGGGGCAGCACGGCCCACCCTCCCCCTGGCCTGGACAGACCCTGGCAGGAGGGGACACAGGGTCAAGCCCTGCTCTGAGCCTGTCCCAGGGCATGCGGCTGCGGGGACTTGGGGCTGCAAGGGACCCCCTGTTTTGGTCCCTCTTGTGACCCAGAGCGTCCTGGAGCCCCCAGCGTTCCCCAAACTGTGGCACAGGCACCCCAGCATGCAGAGCAGTGACACGGGCAAAGTGTCCCTGAGCCCCCCCAGTCCTGGCCAGCTCCAGGTGAGTCCCAGGGATTGTCCCTGTGGGATTATCTCCACGCTGGCTGCCAGCCCTGCTGCCTTGCTCAGCACTCCAGGGCAGCCCTGCCCTGTGGCCTTGTACCCCATAGTGGCAGAAGGGGCCTGAGTGTCCCCCAGGCTGGTACCACAGCTGCTGTGGGAACCCCCAGGTGCCACAGGAGACCCCCGAGTGCCACAGCCCTCCCAGCAGCCAGGCTGCCCCAGGGCAGCGTGCCTGCCTCCAGATAAGGAGGCACTGGGGCTGCAGAGCTGTCCCCACCCTGCCTATCTGCAGGACCACCCTGCAGGACACATAGGACAGGGCCTGTTGTCCTGCCCTGGGTTTAAGGGGACATGGAGGGCACAAAGAAACCATTTTCCCCAGGGAGGGCGGTGCAGCAAAGCCCTCCATGCTGGCTGTCACTGGTCCTGCTTGCAGGGTCACCTCGAGCAGGACAGGTACCCCCAGAACCACCCTGCTATCCCTCGGGGCAGGGAAGGGTGTGTGGAGCTGGGAGAGGGCTCCGGTGGCAAGGCAGGGGGACATGAGCCGCTGCCACCAGCCTGGCTGCTGTGACACAGTGCCTTCAGCTCCTGCCAGCCCTTCTCCAGACCCCAGGGTGCCACTCTTTGAGGTGCCCTGCACAGGTCACCTCCTGGGCTCACACGGGCCACGCAGCAGAGTTCACTCGGTGGCTCCACACTCATCCCTGTGGGCTCACGACAAGGCTCTATGCCGAGGAGTGCTGGGACACAGAGCCCACGGGAACACGGTGACCATGGGGAAGCCACCAGCTGCCAGGAGCCTTGGAGGAGCAGCGTGAGCTGGCACCCCACCTCCCCGCGGGACCCCTCCCGGGCCAGCAGCCCCCAGCCAGCCCAAGCCACCCAGGGGAGCCAGGGCGGGACGGACTGGAGCGAAGGACGACACGAGCCCAGGCAGGAGGTGACAAGGGTTTATTATCTCGCAGCAGCGGGGTGGCGGCCACATGCAGATAGGGCCCGGCCCGGCCAGCGCCAGATCCGCGCCCGCCGCCCACGGGCCAGCGCAAGCCGGGGCCGATAACGCCGCTCCCCCGCCCCGGCGGCAGGGAGGGCGCAGGGGGGCCCCGCACACCCGCCATGGGTCACTCCTGGCCAAGGACAGCACCGGGAGGGACCTGCAGCCATCCCATGGCACGGGGTGGGGGCACTGAGCTGGGGGTGCAGGATGCCCCCGCTCCCAGCAGTGCCAGGCTGACTTCACACACTGAACTGTGCCAGCCACACTGAACACAGGCATTGAGACAGGCAGGGAAGGGGCACGGGCCAGCACAGGGCGCTGGTGGCACTGTGGGGAGGACTGGCACACACGGGGGACAATGTCTTTCACATTGTCACAAGGCAGCAAAGCCACTGGCCGTAAGAGGCAGGGGAAGGGAGGGAGGCTGGGGCAGCTGTACAGGCTGTGCTGGAGGAGCCTGTCCCCACCTCAGTGTCCAGCTGGTCCCCCACCCACCTCTGACCACCACTCTGCTCGAGGAGTTGTGGGTTGCGAAGTGTCACAGCACCTGGGGACAGCCACAGTGGCTTCACTGCCCGCTCAGGGGATGGGTGGCTTTGGCACAGTGCTACTTTTTGGTATTCGTGGCGGTGAGATAGCACCAGGCCTGAGCTGGGCTCCCTCTGACCCCTGGAGCTCTCCCTGCTTCAGATCCTATGAGGAGAAATCCCCAAGGGGAACCAGCACGGGAGAGAGCAGCACCCACTGCTATTGCTGGATTGTCACCTTCCTGGGGAGTTGACTGCCACCCACCCAGCCTAGGCAGGGCTGCTGGCACTGTGGGGGTCCTGAGGGTGAGGGACAGGGAGAGCCAGCCACAGGGACAGCTGTGGGCAGAGGCAGGGCTGGGACAGGGCCCAGGAGGGTCACTGAGAGAGGGCAAGCAGCCCAGGGGAGGGGGGTCCTAGTTCTCTTCCTAAAACTCCCCATCCCAAGCCTGTGCTCCACATCCCAGGTGTTCACCCCAGGGCAGAGAACAGCAAGGCACAGGGACTGCAACACCAGACAAGTTGCCAGTCACAACTGGGGATGGGATTGGCCTGAGACAACACAAAGTTAATTAGAAAATAAATCCTCTCTCAGCCTTGGAATAAAAAGAGCAGCAGACAGGACATGCATCTTTCTGGCCCTACAAAATAAGGCACCAGTTACAAACGAAACTCGGATTGTCTTTGATATAAAAGGAATTCCCATGTGTTGAAGGCAGTTGATGTCTGAGTGCATAACAGGGAGTGATATTCACGAGCTTTGGGTTGGCCAACCTCATTCCTTGGCCTCGGTGGCTTTCTGGAACAGAGGAAGCTGCAGGAGGGGAAGAGAGAAGCTGTTAGGGCTGCAGGAGGGGGAGGCAGGGCACTGCCTGCACTCTGCGCTGGTCAGGCCTGGGGAAGGAGAGGCTCCCTGGGAGTCTGACAGCTTCCAGGCAAGTCCCTGTGCCCTAAGAGCAGCTGGCATTGCCAGCTGCCAGTGCCCAGCTCACCTTTGTGAGATCCACACCGGTGATGGCACGCACAGAGGTGGGGATCTCAGCCAGGAGACGGTTCACATCAGACATGGTGCTGCCTTTCTCTCCATTGAGAATAACGATCTCATCCACTTTGGAGAGGGGAGCAGACACTTTGGCAGCGATCTGGGGAAGCAGGGTGAGCAGAGAGTCAAGGAACTGCCCAGCAGCTCACTGGGAAAGGTCCCTACAGGGCCTTGCTGTGATCCCAGGACACCTAGCCCAGTCTGGGAAACCAGCCCACCAGGAGCAGGGGAAAGCTGCCCCCTCCTCACCTCAGGCAGTGCATCGAGCACAAGAGACAGCTGGGCAGCTTCTCCGTACTTCTGGAGTGCTTCTGCTTTCAGCTTCAACCCCTCAGCCTCCGCCATCCCGACGGCCTCGATCACAAAAGCCTCGGCCTCTCCGATCTTGCGGATCTTTTCCGCCTCTGCCTGAGCAAGGAGGATTTGCTTCACCCTGGAAAGGGAAACGCAGCCCTGCAGCAGCCTGGATCCCTGCAGAGAGCCCAGGAGCTGGGGCTGAGGGCAGCACTGCACTCCCTCCTGCCCAGCCCAGGGCAGGGGCTCACTCACTTCTCGCCCTCAGCGATCTGCTGGATGCGATAGGCTTCGGCCTCGGCCGGCTGCTTCACGGTGGCCACCAGCTCCTTCTCCATCCGGACCACCTCCTTCTCCTCCACCTCGATCTGCTTCTTGCGCTCCACCACCTCGATCTCGATCTCCTCCTGACGGATCTTCTGCTGCTCCCGGGCGCTCTGCAGCTCGTAGGCCAGCTGGGCCTCTGCAGTCTGCACGTGGGGGAGAGGGCAAGAGGGGTCAGGGCCACGAACTTGGGTACGCAGACATAAGGACCACAAAACCAGACACAACTCCTGCTATTGAACCTTTTCCCAGTGGTAACATCCCAATCCTCACTACTGCTCTTCCCACAGCACTTAAGCCCAATCAGGTCCAGGTTCAACTCTCCCCATCCTTTCCTCTTCTTCAAGTCCCACTGAATTGCTGCAAACAGGAGAGGAATCTGCTGCAAGGAGCTCGCAGTGACACAGACTTGGGCTCTCCACCCCCAGCTCTCCTAACAGATGCAGGAGGAGGAAGCTGACAAGTCCCAGAGTCAGCAACACCATCACAGACCCTCCAGGGAACAGCAATGGGCTGTGGGATACTCTCACCTTAATGTTGACCTCCTCAGTGAAGGCAGCTTTCTGCAACTCAAAAGACCGTTTGGAATCTGCTATTTTGGTATCTGCCAAGAACTTGACATCCAGCATTTCTTTCTTGCACTGTGCCTCCTGCAGAGAGGGAACAGAGAGCAGAGCTTCAGGGCATGCAGTTGGAGCAGAAAAGGCTGCTCCAGAGAAGCTCAGCACGTCTCCGGACTCACCCGAATGCCAGCATCCCGCTCGGCTTCTGCCACTCCAATGTCTGCATCCCTTTGGACAGCTGCAATCTGAGTCTTCCCCAGGGAGCTCAGGTAATCCACTTTATCATAGACATCCTGGGGAGGGGAGATAAGTCATAACCACTTCAAATGAGTGACTCCATCTTGCTCCCTTTCCCATTGAAGTTCAGAGTGGTCAGGCCAGGGTCAGAACACGTCACGTCAGCTGCTCCAAACAAACAGGGAGGGCAGGGAGAAGGAGGCCATCCCGACATCTTCCCTCTCTCCCAGGAGGCTGGGTTATCAGCCAGCTCTCTCCACAAGCCTGTTTACAGAGGCAGCTACCCGGCTGCTCTTGGCCCAGCTGCCTGGATACAGGACATGCTGCGGCGGCTGTCATGGAAACTCCCGGAGGGCTGGACAGCCTGTCAGCCTCAGCCTTCCAGCTGCAGCAGGGGGGTCAGGGCCAGGCTCTCTCCTGCTGCTCCTACAGCCCTGCCTAGAGCAGTGCCCAACATCTGGGTGTACCTTGATGGTAAAACTCAGGATCTCGATCCCCATGCGACCCACGTCGGGAGCTGCCACCTCCCGCACCAGCTTGGCAAACTGGTCTCTGTCCTGGTAGATCTGCTCCACTGTCAGGGTACCTGCAGAGGGGAGGAAGGTGAAGCACTTTATTTGGAACAGGTAACACACAAAAATGTGGGTCTAAGCTCAGCAATATCCTTGTTGTCCCTAATCTCTTCAGGCCTGGGCACAAGGGTGTAATCCTCTGCCACAGCAACATCTCAGTCTCACAAGTGCAACCACCACCCACATGTGCTACCTGTGGCCCTTGGGGACTCAGACATCTCTCTCTGCAGGCACCGAAAACTCATTTATCACAAGGCCCAGCCACGCAGAGGGAGCTGCTGGAGGGGAGATGCCACCTCTGCAGGCAGCACAGGAAGGTCCTGTGTGGCTGCGTGGGGGCAGCGATACTGCTGGGACCAGCCAGCTGAGAAGGGACAAAGCCACTCGAGATGCCTCCAGGGGATGAGCCCCTCCATACCTAGGATGGAGCGCAGGTGTCCCTCCAGAGTCTGCAGCACCACATTCTTCACATCCTGCACGTTCTTCCCCAAGAACTGCTCACAGGCCACAGCCAGGAGCTCCTTTTCAGTCATTATCTTCACCTAGAGACAGGAGACAGAACCAAGGGGACTGAGGTGCCTGTCCAGGAGGTGCAGGCACCCCACAGCAGCAGCAGCAGCAGCAGCAGAAGCAGCAGTACCACCACCAGGCTGCCAGGCCCCCGTGCTACTGATGTTCCAAAGGACCACACTGAGCTGTCACCAGGCTGAGCCAGGCCACTGGACCAGGCAGAGAGCCCCTGCTCTCTGTGCTGCTGTCCAAACCCTGACAGCAGCTCAGCGTGGAGGTGCTCAGCAGTGGGGACAGAGCCTGGCCCTACCAGTCCCAACTAACAAAAACCCTACAAAAAACCCTGAAACAGCAGTTTAGCCACTGCACCAACACCAGAGACAGAAGAAAGCTGGGTATTAACCACCTCTGGCCAAAAACCATTTTGTTACCTTCCTCTTCCTCCTCTTTCACTAGAATGAATTTTTCTGAGCCCAAAAAGACAAGAGAATAAGAAAGAGTCTGACATGCCCAAAAAGCAGCTTGGGAACAAGGGCTCCATTCAGTGTTCCCTGGAAGGAGAGATGAGAAAATAAGGCCACTGGTTTGTCCTGCCTGTAACTGGGAGCTCCCAGGCATCCTTTGCAATGACCCCAATGTGCCATGGTCAGGACTTGGCTCTTCTGCTCCACATGGTCAGTCTGGTGACAATCCCCAGAGCTGGGACACAGCCACCCCAGCAACGTTTTCACCTCTCTTACACCAGAGCCAGGCATAAAAGTGCCCCCATTCCAGCCAAGCCAGGGTCTTAGAATAGTCCTGCTGGTCACAGGGCTGCTTTTTAAAGGCAAAGTGAATTACACATCCCTGTGGAGTGTGTTAGGCAGTGGGGATCTGTGCTCTACAACACCCAGCTATGAGGAGTGCAACCCACCAAGACAACAGCTCCTGGTGACCATGTCCAGTCTGAGGGCTCAGGCAAAGGCTGGGCACAGGGACATTCTGTGCCTGGCAGCACCAGAGAAGGAGCAGGTCCAGAGCAGCCACACAGCTTTCTGGATCCTAGAGCACCC